ATACGATTCTCTGTGGTTCCAGCATACAACAGGTTTACTCTTAAGTCTTGCAGAATGAAACCAAAGAAATCATGTCTCCATTAAACTTAGCAAAGCCTTGTACTGGCAGGACCTGAATGGCGAGAAGGCACAAGGAGAGGGAGGTGCTAAAAATAGCACTTGGTAGTCCTCAATTTATACAGGTACTCCTCGATTTAGGACAGTTCATTTAGTGACCGTGGAAAGTTATAACGGCACTGAAAAAAATTACGATGTTTTACACACTGACGACTGTTGCAGCATCCCCATGGTCACCTGATCAAAATTCACACCTCCCATGCGCGCCCACTTCACGGGCACACGCACACCTTCCGCGCCTGCGCCCGGCCTTCCACATAAGTGCTTTGCTTGTGCACGCGCCTTCCACCCCTGCGCCCGGCCTTCCAAGTATGTGCTTTGCTTGTGCACGCGCCTTCCACCCCTGCGCCCGGCCTTCCACGTAAGTGCTTTGCTTGTGCACGCGCCTTCCACCCCTGCGCCCGGCCTTCCAAGTATGTGCTTTGCTTGTGCACGCGCCTTCCACCCCTGCGCCCGGCCTTCCACGTAAGTGCTTTGCTTGTGCACGCGCCTTCCACCCCTGCGCCCGGCCTTCCAAGTATGTGCTTTGCTTGTGCATGGGCCTCCCGCGCATTCGCCCAGCCTCAAAAATGTGCCTAAACAGAATGGCGTAGAGCCCGGGCGTGTGGGTGGAGCCCATTTCCGCTACCAGTTCGTGCGAACCGATCCAAACCAGCTGAATACCCCCTCTGAACTGCAGTGATTCGCTTAACAACTGCGGCAAGAAAGGTCGAAACATGGGGCAAAACTCACTTAACAACTATCTCACTTTGCAATGGAAATTTCTGGCTCAACTGTGGTCATACATTGAGGACTTACCTGCCTTGCAGACTTAGCTATGGAGATGAGGAACATTAATTGAATTCTCACTAGCATCAACAATTCACTTTCATTGCTGGTTTTTGAAGTGTGTTCTCCAAGTCTGGAGCCATCCCAATGGAAATAAATAAATTTACAATACATGAGACACATTATGTGTTTTAAATGATGACACGGTCAAAACAAATATGCAAGAAGATAATAAATTACAAATAAGGCCTTTAATATATTTCAAATAAATTGCTTTAGTTCAGCTGCAAGGAGTAAAACATTGTGCTCAGCATTACCACAACTTTCCTATACGCTAAATTCTAAAGCAACCTCATTCCCTCACACCAGTGACGGGTTCCGGATCCACATGGACGTGCGTGGTGTGCGCGCACACGCGCACATTGCACACGTGTTGTACCTTCGCGTAACCCTCCGCAATGCTCCAGCTGCTCGGTGGAGCATTGCGCAGGTGCTGTATGCGCCATCTGCGTGCGCGGAAGCACCAAATGCTTAAAGAACAGGTAAGGAGCTCAGGCGGGCGGATGGGCCCTCTGGAGCACCCTACCGGTGTTCCGGGGTGTACCGCCTGCAACCCACCACTGCCTCACACCCTTGGCTGGTCTCCGGAGCCAATTTTAGCCTCCCGCACGGCTGATTTTTGGTAAATTTTTTAAAGCAGAGATAACCCCACAATCCGGGCTGTTTCATGTAGTTGAGTTCTTCACACATCAGCAGGGAGGCTTATTTGGGCCGTGGTGGCGCAGTGGTTAGAATGCAGTATTGCAGGCGGATTCTGGCCACAGCCAAGAGTTCGATCCTGACTGGCTCGAAGGTGACTCAGCCTTCCATTCTTTCGAGGTCGGTAAAGCAAGGATCCAGATTGTTGAGGGCAAGAGGCTGACTCTGTAAACAACTCAGAGAGGGCGTGCGCGGCAGAGACGTCAAAATCAGCTGGCCAGCAGGAGGCGCGCACGCATGCGTGCACAGTGGATCTGAGCTGGGGTGACAGCTCGCATGCTTACAGAGAGGGCTCTGTGTGCCACCACGGTCCTAGTGCAATCCGGAAAAACTCGCGGTGATTCATAAACTGGCAGTAATTATATGTGGAAATGGGGGAGATAAAGGAAAGAGGTACGGCCTAGGGAATGATCAGATAGGGAGCCCCAAAGCTGCATAAGGGGGAGAGACACAGAGAGACTCACAAAGGAACCTCCCTAAACTCCCAGATTGCAAGAGAGATGCCGGAGAGACTTCAAACTTGCATGATTCTCTTAATGTAGCCTTACAATAATGTAGAGTTAGCTCATCTAATGGTCCTTCCTGTTTGGTCTATTTAATAAGGCTGACCGTGGCTACCCTTAAAAAGATTATCTAGATCAGGGGTGTCAAACCCGATTTCATTGAGGCCCCGTCAGGGTTGTGTTTGAGCTCAGGGGAACGGAGTGGGCGTGGCCATGGTGGGTGTGGCCAGCTCAACATCACTTGTGTCCGGGGGGGGGGGGAGGCTGTGGTGGTCCCAGGGCTCTGTCAGAGAAACTGGGTTCCTGAGCTCCGTTTACAGCGGTGACGGCCTCCTGCAGCCATCTGCTAATTTTGGAACCTCTTCTGTAGGTGTGGCCTGCTTTCCGGGTCCACTGGTGGAACCTCTTCTAACTGGTTCCGTAGATTTGACGAACCGGTTCTATCGAATAGGTGCAAACTGGTAGGAACCCACCTCTGCTCCCCAACCTCCTTAACTGTCCAATTCTACTGAGAAGTTGTTCTACTTATAAACCTTCAGTGTAAGTTTGAATCTGCTCTAACCATGGATGTTTTTCTCTAATCTTACATCCCAACAAAGCTGTTTTGCTATTCTCAGATGCTTAATGCATCCACCGGGGACATTCTTGTCTTATTTTCCTAAATCTAAAACAATTTAAAGTTAAGTCAATTGTTTAAAAAAAAATAATCTAAAAAGCATTAAAAAAAATCAGGGCAAAGGTTATCTCCAGGAACATCCCAGCTATCTTAAGTTTAGTTAAGGCCAAACCTTTCTCGTCTCTTTCCTTAATCTGTTTATTTTGCTTGAAGGTGAAGTCACTTAGGGAATTTAGCTGGTTTGGTATTTTCAATGGGAGATTTAAGTACTGTTTGCTCATTTCTCCACTCCCAAGAGTCCGGATACCATCGCAGCATCTCTCGAGGCTCACCCTGAAAGTGAAGGGGGTTTTGAGTCAGGCCTTCAATTTAAATCAGATTAAGAGAGTTGGAATGGACCTTGTAGGTCATCTAGTCCAACCCCATTTTGCCAAATTCTTGAGAATCCAGAAGTCTGGGTCCGGCTTTGCAGCCTGAAATTGTTCTAGGGGAGGTGTGGCTTTCATAGCATTAGGTCCAGTGGTGGGTTCCTACCGATTCCAAACCACACATGTGTTTGGCGGGCTGGGACGCTGGAATCGGCAGCGACCCAGGAACCGGCCATGCCCCCAAACCTGTTCTCCGGGCGATGCTGTTGGCGCCGCCATCTTGTTTTTTGGCTCTGCACGTGCACGGAACGGTTTTTTATTGCTCTGCACATTCGTGCGCAGCATGCATCAAGCACACGCGTGGCACCCATAAGCGAACCAGCAGTGGAGACTGACGGAACCCACTCCTGGTTAGGTTACATTTGTAATGTTTTCAGTAAGCTTCTCCTTTCTCTCGTATCCTCTTCTCTTTTCTCTTTCAACATTTTGAAAGCAGCTGATTTTTAAAGGCAGGGTCAACCTGACCTCCAGCCTCAAGGAGTGTGCTACTCCGATCAACCAACAACTGAATGGGACTGCGGGAAACCTGGCCTTTCGCCCCAGGCACTGGGATAAGATTGGAGAATTATTGCACATTAGATGCTTGTCATGGTGCTACACCTTGGTTGTTTTTAAGGCTTTAATGGAGGGGGGGGGGAGAAAGAAAGAAAAAGGAGAGAGAGAGAGAGGAACAAAATGAGAAAGAAAGAAAGGAAAGAAAGAGAGACAAAGAGAGAGAGAAGGAAAAAAAGAAAGAGAGAGAAAAAAGAAAGAAAGGAGAGAGAGAAATAGAGGGAGAAAGAGGGGGAAAGAAAGAAAAAAGAGAGAGAGAGGAAGAAAATGAGAAAGAAAGAAAGAAAGGAGAGAAAGAGACAAAGAGAGAGAGAAAGAAAAAAGAAAAAGAGAGAATGAAAGAAAGAAAAAGAAATAAAGGAGAGAGAAAGAAAGAAAAAGGAGTGAGAAAAAGAGGAAGAAAATGAGAAAGAAAGGCGCTAAAGAGAGAGAAAGAGAAAGAGAGAAAGGAGAGAAAGAGAGAAAGAACGACAGAAAGGAGAGAAATACAGAGGGAAAGAGGGGGAGAGAAAGAAAGAAAAAGGAGAGAGAGAGAAAGAGGAAGAAAATGAGAAAGAAAGAAAGAAAGGAGAGAAAGAGAGACAAAGAGAGAAAGAAAGAAAGAAAGAAAGAAGAGAGAGAAATAGAGAAAGAAAGAAAAAGGAGTGAGAGAGAGAAAGAGGAAGAAAATGAGAAAGAAAGAAAGAAAGAAAGGAGATAAGAGAGAGAGAAAAAGAGAAAGGAGAGAAAGAAAGAAAGAAAGAAAGAAGGAAAGAAAGGAGAGAAAGAGAGACAAAGAGTGTGAGAAAAGAGAGAGAGAGGGAACGAATGAGAAAGAAAGAAAGGGGAGAGAGAAATAGAGAAAGAAAGAAAAAGGAGTGTGAGAGAGAGAAAGAGGAAGAAAATGAGAAAGAAAGAAAGGAGATAGAAAGAGGAAGAGAAAAAGAGAGAGAGAAAAAGGAGAACGAGAGCGAGAGAGAGGGAGGGAGGGAAGGGAGAGGCCAGAGGGACGCGGGGCCTCCCCACCAGCTGATCCAGGCTGAGCTCATTCCCAGCCGAGGAAAACGAAAGTGAGCAGCGGGTGGGGGGTGGGGGGGGAGGCGAAGCGCCCCACCGTTTCCCGGCTTTCCTCCGCCCCTCGGAGCCGGGAGGGGCCCGCTGGGAGAAGGGGGAGGAGGAGGGGGAGGAGGAGGCCGAGCCGGCACCCGCGGCGCTCTCTCGGGCTGGGCATCTTTGCGCTGCTCTCCCTCTGCGGCCTCCTGGACTCTCCCGGCAGCCATGAAGCGCTTCTGCCTGGTCACGCTGGGCTTGCTGGCGCCGGCCTTCCTCATCGCCGGCATCGCCCTCCTGGCGGCCCACATCATGGAGAACCTGGTGGACGGCCAGATCAAGCAGGTCAGGAGCCGCCGGGCGCGCATCATCCCCGGCAGGGAAAAAGTGGGGGTGGGAGTGTCGCTTAAGGAATGGTTGCGTAGTCTTCTTTGGTGCGGGGGTGGGTGGGGGGCTTCCTTCCCAGCCTCCTGGCTGGCACCCATCCTGTGCCCTCCTGTGCCACAGACCATAGTGCTTAAGGAACGGTTGCATTGTCTCTTTGGTGCCAGGGGGCTGGAGACTTCCTTTCCAGCTTCCTGGCACCTGTCCTGTGCCCATCCGTGCCACATACAGATTGTGGGGTTTAAGGAATAGTTGCATCAGCTGTTTGGTGCCAGTGGGCTGGGGGCTTCCTTCCCAGCCCCCTGGCATCCATCCTGTGCCACAGATTATAGTGCTTAAGGGACGGTTGCATTAGCCTCCTGGCACCCATCCTGTGCCACAGACAGATCGTGGGGCTTAAGGAATCGTTGCATCATCTCTTTGGTGCCAGGGGGCTGGGAAGGGAGCCTTCAGTCCCCTGGCACCAAAAGGAGAGGATGTAACCCTTCCTTAAGCGCCGCGATCTGTGTGTGGCACAGGAGGGCACAGGATGGGTGCCAGGGGGCTGGGAAGGAAGCCTGCGGCCCCCCTGGCACCAAAGAGACAATCTGTTCCTTAAGCCCCACAATCTGTGGCACAGGCAGTACTTAAGGAACTTGTGCTCGTGGTGCTTAAGGAATAGTTGCATCGTCTCTTTGGTGCCAAGGAGCTGAATGCTTCCTTCCCAGCCCCCTGGCACCCATCCTGTGCCCGCCCGTGCTACAGATCGCGGCTCTTAAGGAACAGGTGCATTGTTTCCTTTGCTGCCAGGGGGGGCTGGAGGCTTCCTTTCCAGCCCCCTGGCACCCACCCTGTGCCCAACCGTGCCACACACAGATCGTGGGGCTTAAGGAACAGTTGCACCGTCTCCTTTGGTGCCAGGGGGGCTTCCTTTCCAGCCCTCTGGCGCCCATCCTGTGCTGTCCTGTGCCACATACAGATCGTGCCTCTTAAGGAACGGTTGTTCCATCTCCTATGGGTGCGAAGGCTTCCTTTCCAGTCCCCTGGCACCCATCCTGTGCCCGACCAGGCCACAGATCGGGGCTGGGACACTCGATCCAGGGCCTGAGCCCTGCACGATCATGACGTGGAAGCCACCACACCCCTGCGGGGGGGGGGAGTTCTGTAACCTTTTGCACCCTGCATTTCTCCATCAGGTGATTTCCCTTTAAAGGTTGCATGCTTGGAAAGGCTAAAAAGGGAGCCGAACTTGTGAATGCAGGTTGGTTTGTTTTTCAAATCAATGCACCTCTCCAGAAGCGAGAAAGGCCCACGGGGGAAACATTTTCACACTTGGGAAGAGAAAAGTCTCCAAGCAGGTGTTTGGGAGGCAAAGTGCCACTTAATTAATAAATAGCAGGGCCTTGAGTTTGCTAAAGGAGGGGTGGTTTCCAGAAGATTGAATGGTTTAAATTAGGATGTGGGAAATCCAGGTAGGCAGCCAAGGGATGTGCTGGCGTTGGATTTAGTTTTGTACGAAATCGTCTAGAATTTATAGTTTCAGGCGTAAACGTGCCCGACTTGCCCACACAGATCTTAGCATTTTGTGGTGAGAAATTAAAAACAACAACGGCGCAGTTCTGGAGTTAATTGTCGGCCTCATCCGTGACATTACTTCAGTTATTAAATTGGATTATAGTTACGTTTTAATCTTAAGTGAAGAGCGACAGAGCGCTTTCCAGAGATGTAACCTTATAAAATATAGTTCACGAAACCGGAAACATGATTTCCTCCGGAGATATTGTAGCAATATAGCAATAGCAGTAGACTTATATACCGCTTCATAGGCCTTTCAGGCCTCTCTAAGCGGTTTACAGAGAGTCAGCATATCGCCCCCAANAGCCGTGGTGGCGCAGTGGTTAGAGTGCAGTACTACAGGCTAGTTCTGCTGATCACCGGTTGCCAGCAGTTTGGCAGATCGAATCTCACCAGGCTCAAGGTTGACTCAGCCTTCCATCCTTCTGAGGTGGGTAAAATGAGGACGCAGATTGTTGGGAGCAATATTCTGTCTCTGTAAATTGCTTAGAGAGGGCTATAAAGCACTGTAAAGCGGTATAAAAGTCTAAGTGCTATTGCTATGTGAAATCCAGTTCACACAGATGAACAGAAAAATATACCTTCTTCGGGTACATATATGCACATGGGAAAAATCCCAGGAGGAGGAGGAGGAGGCAGCTACAGAGAGAAATAGACCTGTCAGAGAACTCACTGGCAGACTTCCAGAAGCACCATTCCCCACTCTGCTAGCACTCCACTGCAGCCCACCAAGCAGCTCTTTGACAAGCTGTCAACAAGAGGGAGCTGGGATGAAATAAAGACCAAAAGCAGAACCAGGTTTTATGGCCCAGTTGAGATGTTTTATGCTGTTTATAGCCAAAAGTGTCCTACTGGGATAAATATGAATGCCTTATGGAAATATGTGAATAATAAGAATAAAATGTGAACTGAACCAGTCAAATGGTTCAACAACTTGTAAAAATATAACTAGTATTAAATAATGCCATATCAAACATTCCCCTTTAATCTGTGCCCCGCAAACATTCATGAACTTTTGGGGGCACATTAAAAGCAACAGCATGAGACCCACTCTTCCAAGAAGACTGACCACTAAATGAGGCAAAGAAAAATTAGTGACACCACTAGTCCACCAGGGTATTGTTTTAAAACAAGAGATGGAAAAAGAAACAAAAGTGGGGAAAGATGAAGGAGGCCTCCCCTTCCTGCTCTCTACATACTTTTCAAAAAAATTGACTCTCTAGGAAAGTGCCAGAATAAAATCCCTGTTTTCGTAGATTGAAGACTCTAAAAAATAAAAACAGAATGATTTGCTCCATCTTCATCCTAGATTTGGTGACAGAAGTTGTCTGTCTATAAATAATCAGCACCATCTTCATGATGAGATTACTTGGGCAATATAAAGCTTACATTTCTGCCCTTATATTGAGATATAACATGATCTCCAACCACTTGTCATATTTAAAGATGCTCAGGGGACTCTTCACAAGAGCAGGGGTCCCGGCCAAATCTAATTTGAGTAATTACATTTTGCTTAACACCATCTCTCCAGCTGTTTGATCAGGAAATGGTATGCTTTGCTGCTTTAATCACTGTGTACTTTTCCTAGGCATGTTGCCGAAATATTGCTACATGATTCTCACAGTTAAGGAAGGGTATGTTATAGTCAAGTGAATGAAGATGTTTTCAGGTTTGAGTTATGGAGAGAAGTGGAAGACATTTTCTTGCTTGGGTTATGAAAATATCTTTAAAGACTGAAAGATTCTGGAAACATGTGCATGGATCCCATGACTACTCAAATTTTAGTTCTGCATAAATATGTGTATTACCTGGATTCATTCTTTCTCACCGTTGATTTCTAAATGGTGGATTGATTTTGTACACTTTTCTGTTATTCTTTTCCCCTTTTTGGGTTTTGACATTCTGTAGGAAACTGGATGCTTTTATTTATGATGCTGCTGTGCTAAACTATATGGCTGGCAGAGATGAAGGCTGCAAGCTAGTGACAATTGGCAGTGGAAAGGTCTTTGCTTCTACTGGCTACGGCATTGCCATCCAGAAGAACTCTGGCTGGAAGCGGCAAGTGGATCTTGCAATTTTACAGCTTTTTGGCGATGGTGAGTAATTTGGATAATGAAGAAAAAAGATATTTTTTTTACTAAGATTACTCCATTAAACCCTCCAGTGTTTTAACCTAATAGGGAATGCTATTTCAAAGACTCTGGCCCATTGCATCATAGTGAATGTTTAGTTTTACAGCCATTTATTTATTTGAGAGATTTACAGTTCAACATGTCAGTGGCAATTACCAAAGTGGCTTGTAGTCATAAACATCATTAGGAGGCGTTTCAGAAATCTCAAAAGACACATAAGCTATATTTGCTAAGTTTGTATCCTAACTGTCACCCAGAGAAGTTAGGAGGGAGGATGAAATAAAATAAATATACTTCATAATTATGAATACAGAATTAAGACACTAAAAGGCAAACATGCTATTTATGTCAAAGACAGTCAAATCATTTTGGCATATTCGACAGGAACTCCAACAAGTATTCCCAGCCTCGGCAGCACATAAATACATACATATCCATCATGTGATTCCTTTTTGAGTGAATGATATGCAAAGCCCAGACAAGATGTAAGAAGCAGTAAGCATAGAACAGAATCAGCAATCTTGGAGTAATGCTGAATTTTGGTTGTACTTATGGAACACCAGCAAAATGTGCAATAAACCACTGGTATAATGTCTTTATAATCAGGAGGACTATGTTGCATGTGGTGTAGATATAAATAAGATTACTCAGCTATTAAAGTTAATGATTTCTGTCACATCTTCTATCTTCCCAATTGCCAATTAGCTCAATACATTTTAAAACAAATCCTCAGCTCCTCCAGTTTTTCTTCTCAATCTGCAGCTTGAAAATGTTTTTAGTGTGGCATGATTCCAAGTGCTTGAGGTTTGGAATTTGATGAACAAGAATCTTCAGTCAAACATTGCTTAGCCAGAATTGGCCAATAACTAAATACAGACTGCTTATCAATGAGCACTTTCACTGCTTCAAATCTGCCAATAGTGAAATACACAGGGCTTTGTGTACTGTATGAGTTAAATAAGTTTGCAGTTGTCTCTACCCCCACCCCCATTCTATAGCCTTTGTATCTGGCAAGATATATGTTTGTGTGCATGTGTCTTTGTAAAATATTTTCCTGATAGGCTGCTATAGAGCCAGTGGCAAGGGAGAGTTGAGCCAAGGTGGCGCAGTGGTTAAAAGCAGCACTGCAGGCTACTGCTAGATCAGCAGGTCAGCGGTTCAAATCTCACCGGCTCAGGGTTGACTCAGCCTTCCATCCTTCCGAGGTGGGTAAAATGAGGACCCAGATTGTTGGGGGCAATATGCTGACTCTCTGTAAACCGCTTAGAGAGGCCTGAAAGGCCTATGAAGCGGTATATAAGTCTACTGCTATTGCTATTGCTATATTCTTAATGTATGAGGAAGTGCATTGAGAAATTTAACTGTAAATCTCTCAATAGTTCCATATCAGATTTATAGATACACTGTTCTTTTCCAGCAAATCTTGAGTGTTATAAAATAGCATGTTAGCAAAACTGCATTTGAAGGGCTTTTCCCCTGAGCTGGGTCAGATGAAATGTGAGCTGGGATACACAGGCCATTGGATGCAGTAACTCCAACAGAAATACCAATGCCCTTAAATACTTGATGCACTTGCTGGAATGGAACCTGTCTCTGAAGCAAGTGAGGAAAATAAACTTTGTCTTTTACATAGGGTAAGGAATATATTGTTAAGTGTTTGGCTTGCATTGTCGCTGCTTTAAGTCAATGTCATTCAAATAACAAAGGTGTGCTAGCAGAAGTGAAGAAAGCACAGGGGGATAGGGCTGATTGTTAAAATCTCTAGTTGCCTGGTTTACACCTAGAGTTGTCCATCCGAGGATTATATGTATCTAAAATAAATATACTTAGGCAGCCTGGTGGAACATTATTTTAATCAAGTCTCTATTCAATTTGTATAGAAAATGGTTACTTATAAATTTTATTGGTTTCACTTTAGATTGTATAAATGATCTATTTTGACAAGGCTTATTATTTATAATATAATGCATATAACACAATATTTAAAGTAACATGGTTGAACATAAGGCCTTGATACAGACATTGTGCAAATTTATTTCCAACTTGGGAAGCAATGGTGAAACATGGGCATATGTGGTATACCCAAAGTTACCTGGACCATTGAAGCTTCTGAATACTCAAAGATCAAATAAGAAACATAAGAAACAAGATAATGGAGGACCAGTTACTTAGAGAGGAAAATGTTCATAGAAAATGCTACTGATATAAGTCAAAGAGCAGAGGTTGCTCACTCATAGTTGATAATTATTGATAATTCATAGTCCATTATTCACCATCACCTGTGATCAAGACCTATGGAATGATGTCAGCAGATCCAGTCAGAAATATAATTTTGGCTCTAGCAAAGCACCCGGAAGCAAGCAAACAAACAAACAAAACCCTAACCCCTCAAAACAAGGCAAACCTAGGCAATAATTAAGTGAGAAGGAAGGATACCTGTAAATAGTGTCCAGCAAATGGCCAAAATATCATAAATATAGAAAGTATAATTACATGGCAAAAGTACAAAAACAATTTTAAAAATAGCATGAATCTAAAGAAGATAATTTCTTCTTAGGCTTAATCAACAACAGTAAATCAATTATATAACTGTTACTGGTGCAGTCTAGCAGTTGATCATGGGTACAAAAAATGACATATCTAATACCTATGCCTACAATCATATAAGAATCCAGTAGACACAATCAGTGGTTTGAATTCATGTTGAAATGAAAAAAAACCCATGTATTATGTAAAAAGAGTATTATTAAATCCATGAAGCACCATAATGGTCCTAAAAACATATAACAGTTTACAAGTAGTTAATTGTATCAATATCATCAATATAGAATTACTACAGAAAAAAATCCTCCATGATTAATAAAAATGCATTTTAGGAACAGAACTGAGCATAAAGTTGTATTTTATAATATTGTGATACTTCCAAGAATGCATCCATTATTCTTAGGAGACACACACATAAAATGCATAATATAAAAGCAGTATTGAAGACAAAAACAAAAGCAGAACCGAAGCAAAAATAATTATTTGCCATAATGAAGAATAAACTTCAGATTAAGTGGATCTATTATGTGAATATTGTTTGCAAGAAACATGGATTTTGAGAATTTGCCCGTACTTACAATAATTAACTAGTATACTGAAAGAAAATAAATAGAGAACCAGTTCAGTGTAGTGGTTAAGATTTCAGGATAGAAACCAGGACACTGTGAGTTACAAAACCATCTGGATGATTTTGAGCTGGCCACCTTCTCTCAGCCCTAGGAAGGAGGCAATGGCAAACCACTTCTGAAAAACTTTGTCAAGAATTTCCAACAATCAGACATGATTGATTGATTGAATGAAACAAACAAACAAACAAAACCAAAGAGAGCATGTGACCTTGTGATAGAAGAAATGATGGTAAAATATATTTTCTAAATACCAGAAATTTCAGTTCTGGTACACAACCAGATACATTACCACAGGGTAAATGTACTATGGCACAGTCTGCTCTTTGAAATCTTCTATCATACCTTACAAAATTGATGGTAGATATTCAAGTAACAGTGCTATACACGAATGACATCCTTGTATGAATCACCATAGAAGAACACAACTACAAGTTAAAACTGGTACTAGGAAAAGTCAGGTTATTTATGTTTTAAATTTCTGTGCCACCGATCCTACCAATACAGTGACTCTAGGTGGCTTACAATATCATAACACTTAAAAAGTGCTAAAATTAGAACAAAAAGTTAAGAATCAAGATGATGGGCAATCTGGGGGTGAGAATCTTTTCTACCTTTCCAGCTACCCCTAACATAGTTGGGCCCCAGGTCAAGTGGCAGAGCCAAGTTTTTAGGCTCTTCTGGAAGTCCAGGAGTGTGGGGGAGGATCTCACCTCTAATGGGAGAATATTCCAGAAGGTGGAGACCACAGCAGAAAATGATTTTATCCTGGACCTCACCAGCCAAAGTCATCCTCCTGGTGACTCTTACCAACCAGGAGGGCAAGGATCTAATAAAGAAGTAGCTACACTAGGAGCCCTGAGGACCTTGTATATTTCCTCGAACAGGGTAAAAGTGCTACCAGATAACTAGATAAATATGCTCCTTGGACCTGCTCCATAGTTGGAATCTAACTGAGAATGAATCCAAGTAATTTTATCCATCAGGTGCTGGACAAATTCCTCTGTGTGGCCCTATAAATGTTCATTTGAGCCCTCTTTCCTGAGGAGGGACCAGGTGACCTTAAACATGACCAACAGGCAGCACTCTGTGGATGCAATAAATGCAAAGAAATTGTGACTTTTCACCATTTTTACTGCCATGAGGTAGGCCTTAATTAGCAGCTCTCATCTATGGTCAGTAGGATTCATTCTTTGTTTCCCTTCAGCAGCATTCTACCCATTTCTTGACTCTTTTCAACACCCTCAACTCCTCCATGAATGGCAGGAGTGTCAAGAAGGTGATGGGCAAGATCTTGTCCAGGGTTCCAGCCACTTCTGATTCAAGGCTGTAGCCAGAGCCTCCACAAGACCATGCAACAGAGCAACTGGGATATCCCCCATCTTCCCCTGGACCCTGAGTTCACCAGTCACTGGGGGGAAGACCATTTAAATAGGCTGGGCCTCTCTGCAGAGGGGGCAGTGTTGGAAAATCTCAAGGACATTGAAAATTGAACAAAAGCAAACCTTGAAGAAATACCGTATCTGAGAGATGTACTAACAAAAGATGGCATTAAACCAGACCTTTTTCCACACAAAAGGAAAAGCGATTGCAGATGTATCAAAACTGACATGCCAAAATGAAGTTCAGAGGATCATGGGAATGGTAAATTATGTCTCAAAATGTATTCCCAATGTAGTTGCCCACACCACAAATTTGAGGTCATTACTTTGCAAAGATGCCATCTGGCACTGGACTGATAAGGAATTAAAGTATATAAAGAATACTCCAAATACAGCACCTGTTATGCAATTTTATGATCTTTTTTTAAAAAAGAAAAACAGCTGCTATTAAACAATGTACTATTCAAGCAGACAAAGAGACTAATGGAACAGTATTGAATGTTGCATGACCAAATTATTTAATGTATAAGGAGGGCAATATAAGGAAGGTTGTAGTTATTTGTAGTTAATGGAATATGTTAAGGGTTATTTTTTTTGTCCCAGGTAAGAGCTGAGTCCAAGCTGATTTTTAAAAAAAACATAGTTCACCCTTTCCGCCATTCCCCCTTTACAAATCAACACAAGTGCCAGTCTTATCCAGCAGGTTGCAGATTCAGCTATAACCTCACAGACATGAATCTTTGATCACCTTTAGCTGTGTGTTCCCAAATAATATTTGGAAAGTCACCATAATCCCCCTCAGTTCATGGGAAACGGGGAACAATCTCAGAAAAGAAGCTTTATGAGTCACAGGGATGAAGACTGCAAAGCATATTTGTCATTAAGAATGCTTTAAAATACCAAATAAAATTAGTTAAAAATAGAAGTCTCTATTATTCTGATTATCTCACTCACTCATACTCTCTCTCACACACACACACACACATAAATGGATTTCATGTTTCATTTTTTCCCAACTCTTTTATAGGGGAGATGGAGGAACTAGAAGCTCTCTGGCTCACTGGGATTTGCCACAATGAGAAGAATGAGGTAATGAGTAGTCAGCTGGATATTGACAACATGGCAGGAGTCTTCTATATGTTGGGAGCAGCCATGGCCCTCAGCCTCATCACCTTCATCTGTGAACATCTCTTTTATTGGCAATTTCGCCATTGCTTCATGGGGGTCTGTTCTGGCAAGCCTGGTGTTGTCTTCTCCATTAGCAGGGTGAGTGTATGCAATCAAATAAAGGGATTACAATGCAGTGGTGCATTTAGTCCAATATAAAACTGGGGGATGACATTTGATCACTGAGCATGCATTTGAAATTGGATAGAGCTAGATCAAAGAAGTGGATAAAGGAAGTAAATTAAAACAAAACTATTGTCTCTATAATTAATCTTCAAGCATTTAAGAGCATCCTTCTTTTGTCACATTTAAAATCATGGTTTGTTAACAACTTATGAATGGCCAATGGAGTAGCACTCACGGCCCTTGGACGTTGCATGTGGTCCTTGGGCCATAGGTTGCATACCCCTTGCCTAAAAAAAGAGAGATATCTTGTATCCATGGTGCTTCTGAGTGTAGCTGAAAGGAGTCTTCTTTTTAGCCGAACCTTTCATTCCTGCAAAGGTAATAATCAGGAGCATTGAATACAAATCACTGTACTTTCAAACAATTTTAATAGCATTTTTTTCCTCAAGGATAATGAAAATGCAATGTAATGGAAAAGGTAGTTAGTTGATCGCTATAAGATACAAAATGCTGGACTAGATATACCATTGTTTTAATCCTACTGTACATAGCTCTTCCAATGTTCATTAAAAATTAAATATTCCTGCAAATGTTTTCATATTGTAAATTAGTTGAAACTTCATCAAATATAATTTTGAAATAAAATTTTAAACCTATACTATTAAGTTGTAAATTCACTCAGCTTTAAAGTATATCTCATTTTGATTATAAAATTATAAAGTTAATTCAAAATGCTTTAAGATATCACATTATGTAACCAGAAAAGTCAAATTCAGATATTGAACAAAAAATGGCAATGAATTTTGCTTGAGAAAGATATGTTATATACAGTGTTACAGTATGTTCTGTTTTCTCTGTCACAATTGCTGAGAAAGGAGTAGAGCAAGTATGACTTTGTAGATCACAAGCTGTGATCCAAATGAATAAGAAAAACTGGGCTGAGCAGAGGGACAGGAGATTGTGCCAAGTGAACTAATACATTGTACTTGGCTTGACAGTTTTTGATTCCTGAGTGAACAAATCTCAGGATGGTACCCAAGAACATCTACAAAGTATAAGGTTGGCCTCATTTAGGGTATTATAAGTAAGAAGGAGCACCTTGAATCAGAATCAGAAGCTAAATAGATCATAGATCAATTGACCATAGATCAATTACCAGTCTCATCATTCAATAAATGTATGAGACAATGGAATTGAAGGTATCTTCAGCTTCAGAGTAATCTTTTAGTCCATTTTAGTAGTAATATTTTGTGAGAGGTAACAAGATAATGGTAGGCAGTGGTAGACTTTATTATTCAGAAAAAATGAGATATGTCACATGTAAATTAAGAACAACATTCCTGGCAAGAACAACAAAGTAGATATTGGAAATAAATGTATGTTTAAGATCATTTTTGAGCAGAACTTCTAATTTACCTGAATATTTGCAACCATGTTTAAAATGAACGGATTAGTTAATGTAACAAAAAAAAAGGAGATCACACTCACTGAAAGGGAAGGAAACCATATTTCTGTTTTTGATAACTTTCACCAAGTGTCAGTCTTCTCTGTTTGGGGAAGATAGTTGGGAGGGTGACAGAGATTCATCTCTATAATATCATGGAGGAAACATCTTATCTAGATCCTTTTAATCAGGATTCAGGGTTGACCCATGAGACCAAACAATAATGTTCATTCTAGTAGTCAATCTTTATTGGGAAATGAATGGAGGTACTAATACCTTTCTAGTCCTCATAGATCTCTTAACAGAATTAAATACTCTCAACCATGGTATTTTGGGGCTATCTGCAAGGATTTCAAGTCAAAGGCACCTTTTACAAAGGTTTTACTCCTACTCAAGTGGGCAGTTCTGGTTCCTAGTCACAGGCAAAGATTGGTCAAGTTGGTTGCTTGAGTGCTTTCATGTGGCATGACATTTGAGCTCGGTTTCCTCTCCCACACTATTTAACATCGATATGAAATTTCTGAGAGAAGTAATCTAATAGTGGTATCCAATCCAAAACAAATCTATTGAGGTCTTAAACTGATGCTTGAAGGCCGTCATAAACTGATAAGATGAAACAAATTCAAATTAATTCCTGCCAAACAGAGTTACTGCTGGTCAATTGACATTATGACTATCCAGTAATATCAGCCCGTGATAGGGTTGCATTGCCCTGGAGATAATCTGTGATTTGGTTCCTGCTACAGCAGCAGCTAGAAGTTCTGTCTAGGGGAATCTTTAGCTGGTATGCCAAGAATGTACGTATGTATCAAATTAATACAGCAGTCTATCTTACAAAACATGAATGGACAGAATACAAACATAATGACAATAAAAAAAACATTCAAACATGAATGAAAAACAAACCCCCATATTGAACGAAAAAACAATCACTTGACATCAAGCAGCCACCTTGCAAGCTCACCATGGCATCCCCAAGTCTTATGGAAGAACCACATTTTAATGGTGTTCCAAAGGGCAAGCCTCTCCTCAGGGGGAATGATGTTCAGAAGATGAGGGCCATAGCAAAAAAGTCAACGTGAATTGGACCCTAAAGCAAACTGGTAGCCAGTGCAGGTTGTGGACATAGGTGTAATATGCACCACCCTAGGGACATACATAATATCTGCATAGTTGCACTGTGCACCAGCTGAAGCTTTCAGATGCTCTTCAAGGATAGACCAATGTAGAGTGCTTTATAGTCCATACCGGATGTGACCAAAGTGTGAGTAACTGAGTTGTAAAGTTTTATAGTGCAAGAAGGGGCACAACTGGCACACACCATGAAGCTGTTCAAAAGATATCTTACACATGACTGCTACCTGCCAAAGACAGTAAAGTTTCAGCTCCAAAGGGCTTCAAAACTCAGTGCCACTTAATCTTCAGGGTTCAGCTGAAGCCTATTGTTACTTATCCAGGTCCCCACTGTCTCCAAACACCATCGTTGCTTAGCTAGGCAAAAGTAGAGGCATATAACTGTAAATCATCAGCATACTGATGAAGAAGCCTTGATGACAGTCTAAAATTTTAATCATTTCACAACTTGTCTACTACAATATCCTGAAATTGGTGGTACCTTTGAAACTAACTTGTAAGCTACCTGGGCAAAATACCACATTTGATTAGTCAAGAGAATCTGTTTATTTCTAATCCTAAAATCAATTGATTTTTGGATTCAATAATTTATAAAGCCTTATACAGTGTATTGTAGTGTAGGGATACATCAGAGACTTCTTTCCAAGTTTGATTTTGCCCATCCAGTCCAAATATTAAGCATTAAGGGCCTGCTAAGTCACCCACTTCATGTGAATAACACAGCTGTGGGATTGCCTCTTAGGTGATCCTCTCTTCATACAATATACTGTCTCTGTATCTCACTTTGACACAGCCCTTCATACATTTTTGAAGGCCATTAACAGTCAATTTATTTCAATGAGGTTTTGGTTTATAGATTGATTCTGGTTGGCTTTCTGATTTCATATTAAGTATTGGTGTTTTTCTTGTCTTGTTCTTTTACTCCTTTATTATTGTACATTAACCAGAATAATTTTGATTGATGCTCTAGCAAACCTTGTAAATAAAGAAATAGATCCCCAAATATAAAGGAACTAAAAGTGAAAAGTGAAATATTGGTTGTAGTAGTGGCAAAAGGATTAATGATCTGAATTAATGTATACAAATGCAAGTGGTCCTTCTCTCTGAAAGCAGAATGAGAACAACTCCAAAGGAAGTAGGTTGCCCAATTGAAAGTGATACCGTAAGAAACCGTGAAAGATAAAATCTTATTTACCAAAAGACATTTTTCCAATTTCCAACTCTGTGGATTCTCTGCTAAGCTTCTCTGTTAACCTTTTTTTCCTCTATTTCCCATTTCAGGGTATTTACAGCTGCATCCATGGAGTGGCTATTGAAGACCATCATTCTTCTATGAATTCTCCTACTGCCACCATGAACAATACCCATTCTAATATTTTGCGTCTGCTCCGAACAGCAAAGAACATGGCTAACCTTTCAGGTGTCAATGGATCACCACAAAGTGCCCTGGATTTCATCCGCCGTGAATCATCAGTTTATGATATCTCTGAACATCGCCGTAGCTTCACCCACTCTGATTGCAAGTCTTATAATAACCCCCCTTGTGAGGAGAATCTTTTCAGTGATTATATTAGTGAGGTAGAAAGGACTTTCGGCAATCTACAACTGAAAGAAAGTAATGTTTATCAAGACCATTATCATCATCATCATCGCCCCCATAGCATTGGTAGTGCCAGTTCTATTGATGGACTATATGACTGTGATAATCCACCCTTCTCTTCCCAGTCTCGATCCATCAGTAAAAAGCCACTAGATATTGGTTTACCACCAGCCAAGCACGGCCAGTTAGGTGACCTTTATGGCAAGCTGTCATTCAAGGGTGATCGATATAGTGGAGGAGGGGCACATGATGATTTAATCCGTTCAGATGTTTCAGACATATCCACTCATACGGTAACATATGGCAACATCGAAGGCAATGCAGCAAAGCGGAGAAAACAGCAATATAAAGATAGTTTAAAGAAACGTCCAGCCTCAGCTAAATCACGGAGAGAATTTGATGAGATTGAACTGGCCTATCGACGGCGTCCCCATTCTCCTGACCACAAGCGCTACTTTAGAGACAAGGAAGGGCTAAGGGATTTCTATTTGGACCAATTCCGGGCTAAGGAAAACTCACCGCATTGGGAACATGTAGATCTGACAGATATCTATAAAGAACGGGGAGATGACTTTAAGCGGGACACTCTAGGGGGAACAGGGACGTGTTCAAATAGGACCCATCACAAACATGGGTCAGGGGAGTTTGGAGTAAACAATGAGCACAAGCACAGTGTTGTGAGTGGGGTACCAGTGCCATGGGAAAAAAACCTTGCCAATCTTGATTGGGAGGAACGGCCAGGGTCTAATTATTGCCGCAGTTGCCCATCTAAGCTGCATAACTACACCCCAGCTGTGGTGGGGCAGAACTCCACCCGTCAGCCATGCATCCGGTGTGAAGCTTGCAAGAAGGCAGGCAACCTCTATGATATCAGTGAGGACAACTCCCTTCAAGAGCTGGATCAGCCATCTGCTCCTGTGCCAGTGGCAACCAGCACCTCCACCACCAAGTACCCTCAGAGCCCTTCCAACTCTGCCTCCAAGGTGCAGAAAAAGAATCGCAACAAGCTCCGCCGGCAGCACTCCTATGACACATTTGTGGATCTGCAGAAGGAAGAAGCAGCCTTGGCCCCACGCAGTGTGAGCTTAAAGGACAAAGGCCGCTTTTTGGAGGGAAGCCCTTATGCTCATATGTTTGAAATGCCAGCAAGCGAGTCCACTTTTGCCAACAACAAGTCCTCACTGCCTGCCACCAGCCACCACCACCACAACAATCCTGGCATTAGTGGTGGTTATATGCTAAGCAAGTCTCTCTACCCCGATCGGGTCACTCAAAACCCTTTCATCCCCACTTTTGGGGATGACCAGTGCTTGCTCCATGGCAGCAAATCCTATTTCTTCAGGCAGCCTGTGGTGGCAGGAGGGCCCAAGGCCAGGCCAGACTTCCGAGCCATTGTCACCACCAACAAGCCAGTGGTCTCAGCTCTTCATGGAGCTGTGCCAGCCCGTTTCCAGAAGGACATCTGTATAGGGAACCAGTCCAACCCCTGTGTGCCTAACAACAAAAACCCCAGGGCTTTCAATGGCTCTAGCAATGGGCATGTTTATGAGAAACTTTCTAGTATTGAATCTGATGTCTGAGTGATGGGAGAAAAAGCATGGGAGGGGATGGTGCAGGAAATGCAAAGCAAGGGAGGGGCAAGTGGTGGGTTTAGTCCTAGCTCCCATTTGCTACTCTTCTGCTACTGTTTCTTTCCTTTTTTAAACAAAAAAAAAAGTGGAATATTGGAGTTCTGCTTAGGCAGAGCTGATGAGAAGTGCCACTTCTTTCTTTCCCCACACCCGAACTCCTAATTATCTCTTTTCATTTCCCTACTCACATTTCCATTCCTGACCATCACATGTCAGAGCTTACTAGCTTAGCTTGTGTTTTCACAGTTGGAAAGACAGGGCATGGATCAGGTGAGGTCAGCACATGGGTAGGGGCAATACCCCAATACAGAATTGGGGTTTTCTTAGCAGCAAACAGGGATGGTTAGTATTGCTATGAAGATGCCATGTATGGTAAAGAACAGAGGAAAGAAAGATTAGTTCTTTTTACATTTGTACTTTTAAAAAAATGTGAGATACAGCTAATGTGGAATTTATTTAATGAAATACATTCAGTTCTTTTATAAAGACTTTAGGGAAAGGGTAAAAATTGAAGTTGCATAGATACTTACATCCTGGAATGCAGTATATCTTGTGGAAAAAGGAGGTGTGGAGATCTGCTTAGAAGTTCAGTTACGGCAGTCCAGCAAGGGCATTTCTGAAGGATGGGCTGAAATTACAGCTAGGACAGGTGAGAGCAGGAAACTTTTGCCAAGAGTCTTGAGAAAATTAAAAGGTGGGATCCCAGGGTGGGGAATCTGTCTGATTTTCTCTACTCATGAAAACTCATTGTTAATTTTGAAACCATAAACTTTTGGATGTGAATTGATTTGTGCACAGCTCTCTTAAATAATGATTTACATCAAATACAGACAACAACAAAAAATAAAACCAATGTAACATCACTGAAGTATTTTTCTTACACATCCCAGCAGAACAAGCCTCTGCAATGTGGATGAATAAAAAGGCTGAACAATGAGAAAAGAAGGCTGGCAGCTCCTTAAACTCCACTGTTCTTTTGATGAATTAAATGTGGAAGGGAGATTTCTCAACTGCCACCTCCTTGTTTCTCTTGCAAAAGGAGATTTTGAGAGACTACAGAAAAAAAGGCTTTCTCTGCTGTTGGAGTTGAATAGAAAGTACAGGAGGTGGTGCTGCTGGTGGGGAGAATAGGACCAGCACAACTCATACCATGTGTATATGTATATTTATTGAATATATACTTATATTTGATAACTATAGTGTTGTGGAACTATGGCTTGTCTTCCACAGGGCATGAGGAGATGAAATACCAGTTCCCACAGTTGCTGTAGTGGGGATCAGAAAGCAAAGGTAGCAAGAAAGTTAAGAGGAGGCCAGGAGATGCTAAACAGGAAAAGTAGTATTATTTAGCAGCATTAGAGTTGTTCTGGACGTCTTCTTGGTGTAATGCAGTATTGCTTGCAGCAGTTTTTTCTCTCAAGGAGGAATAATTGAAAATGTGAGTAAAACTACTTAAAGTGAGATTGTTTCATTTCCATCAGGAACCCTCAGGTAAGAGCAGCAGGCTATAACTGTTGCCTCCCATATATGTGGCAAAACATCTCACTTTTTTCCTGGATCTGTTGATCTGCTTTCCTAACAAAACAAGCGGGCAGAAGTATCTCTTCTGAAAGAGCTGGCAGATTGCAATTGGACTGAATAAATGGAGAGGCACAAGCTCTGAACTCTGGAAGCAGCTGTTCCTTTTTTGAGCCACATTTCTTGCAACTGATTCTCCTTTCATGTCCTTTCATCCACACCCCATTTGGGCTTTATATTTTTAATATATATATTGCTGCATTGAAGCCATTGGAAGGCACTGTCTTTTGGTAGAGAGGATAAATATGGGCTTGAACTTTATTAGGTTGTGAAAGGAGTGATGTCTGGAAGAGCAGAATGCCTTTTACTTCATTTTCCTTGTCCCTCTCAGAAAAAGCTACTTTCCTAGCAGTCTGCAGCACACAAAGTAACTGATGAATCCTTTAACAAAGGGCACTTGGGAAGGCATTCATCTCATTTGTAAATTGAGATTTTTTTTCCTATTGCATTTTGTATAAAACTAGTGCTTCTCTTCTTGTGAATATTCAGGTTTTGAGAGGATATGGGTTTTTAGTTGTTGCATTTTCCCCAACAGTTTTCAGTCTTTGTATATGGAAGTAGCTTTATGTTGGCCCATACCATTACAAATGGGAAATAATAAGAGAAAACTGCATGTATTAAATACCTCTTTCTAAATCACACTTGTCACATTTTTCCTCATGTTTAGAAAATGGCAACGGATCATCTTAAACCTCACCAGCAAGGCTTACATGTTCCTTGCTTGATTATAAACTCACAATCTTTCTCTGGAATCTGGGCCCTGAAGCATTGTGCTGTTTTCCTTCAGATGGAGTAAATTCATTTTGAATGTTCAGTTTAAATCGCACCCAAAATTACAGGAACTTCTCCAAAGTTAGCTTGGAAAGCTTGGGGCTGGGAAATCTCTCAATTAACACTTAATACTTAAAATTTATTAAACAGCTGGGCTTGATCCTAGTGATGAGCGGGCCTCTGGGTTGCTCCCTTTCTCAGCTGAAACCAAAAATATTAGTATTGTAGTAAGAAAAAAGTTCACCAAGCCCAAAAAAATATTAACTGAACTCTCAGAATGATTTTAGATGTATATTTGGGGTGTAGATTTTCTCTGGTTTTAATTTTCTTGCAATCTAGCTCAGTTTGAATATTAAATTCACAAGTTTACACTATAGCTAAGATTTGATAATATTAAATTACCAATGTTAATTTGCGTGCACAGAGCATGAAACATGTCTGCTTAAAGATTAGTAGAAATGTTGGGGGACTATCAATAACAGTTAATAAGCAGGTATTGTGTCTACTGCTTTAATATAAGAAATTAGCTTCTTGATCTCTCCATCTATCTTGAACATCTTATTTTTCTTTCTATTGAAATTTGACCAAGAAGAAGAAGGTTGGTTCAACCACATACATAGGTTATGTTTTAGATATTATTATGATTTTATAATTTAAAGTTCTGGATATTATTCCACTAAAAACATCAAACATGGACATGATGGAAAATGTTAGCTGCAGGTGCTGTTTATGGAGACAGTGATGTTGGTTGTTTAACTTGCCAAAAATACACAAAACTTTGTATAATACACACACAAAATTGTATGTTCATCATTTAAGAAACTCAGTTTCCTCCTCCTGCTTAGAAAAATGGGATGTGCTCTTCAGTTTTCTCATTGCATAAAGTTGATTTCCCCCGTGAACTAAGATTCATTGTCTTCTGCTTGGGTGAGTGGTCCTGCACCTGAACATACATAATTGACATTTTTGCTATCCAGATGCTTTAGGATAATGTATTGAAATACTTTCTTAATACTAATTCTAGAGCCATGACAGTACATATGTTGTAAATGTGCCAGGGGATAAGGGATGTGAAGTTGTTTTTCTTTTTTTTAAAATGGCAGATTTTCCAAGCTGTTTAACTGAGTATGGCATGCTGCCAGACCACGTATTCTGGCATTCTATAACAGATGTGATTTAATGTCTGCCAATGTAGCAATACACCATCTTATGTTATATTTTGCCATAATGTGTGGTGCTTCAGGAATATGGTGAGTGGGATATTTTGTATGTCACCAAAAACATCAGAGAAAACGTGTTGCCTTGTTTCAACGCTAATCTACTGGTTTTAAAACTTTTCCTGAAATTGTCTTCTAGTAGGTAAATCTGTATTTCTTCTACTTGCAAAAATCCAACATAATTTCAATTTGGATTCAAATGTTTTTTTTAACATTGCTCATGGCAAGGGGGGTGGGGAGATGAGTAAAACCCCAGATTTCTTCATTTAAATCTGCAAAATATTCCATGACTTCTAAATGAAGCCATTAACATGATACTGATAAACTGATTACCCTTTTTCTCTTTAGGTTATTATATAGAAACTAGAACAGGCATGTATGAGTTGAGTTCCTTTACATTCATTTAGCATAGCATTCTTACCAGAAAAAGCTAGTATGTTGTTTATTTCTATTTCCCATCTGCTGCAAAATGGGATTTCTTTGGTTTTGGCCCATTTTGTCCACCAGATGACCAGGAGCTCAGGTTCCTGACATCAAAAGAAGAGGGAAATAAACTTTTCTTATCTGCTTTTATGCCCTCTCCTGTAAGTGCTTCCCTGCAATTGAACATTCTAAGTTTGTCCAAGTGAACATGTCTATTGACCTGCTGGACACTGCTCCAATATGAAGAACATATTAATGGGACACTAGTCTTGTCCCTCAAGGGCTTATTTCCTGTTCGTAGCCAAATAGGCTTTTAAGCCATAATCCCTGTTCTTAATATTCCTTACATCCTCACCACTGGAAAGGTTGGTTGGGTTTATAAATCACCAGTTAGAGATCCAGCTTCATTTCCATTTTTGGAACCTATCAAACTAAACCTCAAACAAAGCTCAAGCATCTCATAGGCAGTAATTCTGAAGCCACTTTCTAGGTTTTAAATGTTCCTGGATTATAATGCTGTACAATAATATGATTTATTATATTATCCTATAGACTATATGCATACATTTTTATAAAAGGGAGATATGCTTTATTAGTAAGTCCACTGAATGTCAAAACTTAATAAGAAGATGAAATGTCAATTCGTATAACCAGAACAGTAACAAACTAATAGCCAATGGAGCCAAGGGCCATGCCTCTTCTAAATGAGGTATATTTTAGACTTGTTTCCTGAAATTCCCAAAGAGTACAAAGATCAACATTGGAATTAAATTGATGAACTTCAGAGTAAGATTTGTTGCTCTTTTTCATGATGAATTAGTGGGCTGAGTGGATCCAGAGGATGGTTTGTATGTGACAAAACTGATGCTCATGCTAACTGAACACATTTTTACCATGCCACTACAAAGTTATTCGAAATAAATTTTTACTCATGATTTGTTTTTACCATAGGCCAATTTAAATTTGGATCCAATCAGTCAAGCCAGTATAGCAAATTGATAATTTGAACTATTCAAAAGAAAAAAAATGCTGATGTTATAAGTCAGTTGTTACATAATTCATTTAACTTATGAAAAATGCTAGGTTACATTCTTTGAACACCCAATCATATTGAGTCAACTGTGTTAACCATCATAATAAGCTCTGGTACAGATGAAATAATTGAATATAAAAATGTATGTCTCAAAACCCCCTGAGTATGCATGGGCACATTCCAAACATAAAATTCACTATTTTTCTTGATTGGTTTTAATTCAATGTTTTTTTCAAAGCAGAAACAATGCAACATTTCTTAACATTGTTACTAATGTTATGTATTCATGTTGTGCCATATATATCATCCGCTTATTTAATTGCGGTTATATGTAGATATAAATGTACATATGTATAGAAGCTTATTATAGCGTTATATTCAGGTTGGGGGAAGAGGGTAATTTTTTATATGTACAGTATTTCCTTATTAAGCAAAGGCATGGGGTAGGGGAAGGGGAGTTGACTTATGAGTTGTGGTTTTCCTTGATCTGTGGTGTTTGAAGTTGTTTCAGTGATTGCTTTTGCCAGTTTGGGAAATTTATCTGGATGTTCTATATGTGTGCTAAGAAAGGGACTCATGTTAAGGGAGGTTGGGGCTAGTGTTGGGAGGGGAGGAAAGGGTGTTAATAGTTTCCTTAATTAGAACATGTATTGATTGCTAGAGACTATACGTTTGAGATGATATATTTGAAACACCAGACAAGCTCCTACTTCAGGACCATCTACTCTTCTTCTTCCCACTAAACATTATGATTGTTTCTTTTTTTCTTGTTCAGGGCTATTAGTAGCATTCACTATCTCAAGACCCATGGGTTTTTAATACACAGTCCCTATCTCTTGTTCATTTTTTTTTTTTTTTTTTTTGCAGAGAGGTTTCCTGTTTTAATAACCTCCCTTTGTTTACCGGAGATAAAATTCTGGATCAATTTAACATCCATCCTAGCAGCTCTCCTCTCATGTTCAGATACTCCCATATTCCCTTCAAAATCTTTAGAATCTTTGCTGTCCTTCATCTCTTCCCTCCCACCCCATCCCCCTTCTTTGGTAGCTATGTTCACCCAAACAAACGTGTGTTGTGAAACACACACATTCAAGTCACAGAAATGAGAAAACACAATGAAAATGTTGTATACAACCATGATTGCAACCTTACTTTTCTTATTCACTATTCTCATTACTCATACGAATATCTACTTCCTTGAAGTTTATTGCTATCTGTGTTAAGATAATAGCCAATATTACAATTCAGCTAGTTAGATAATGGCACAAACAAACACTAAAATGTTTAACTTGTGACTGTGATAAATACTTGAAATTATTATAAAATTAAGGCATGAACAAGTAGAGAGATGGTTTTTTATTGTATATCTTTCTTTCTTTTGTCAGTTGATCAATAATTTGAGATCAGGGCCTCTTATACTGCCTGAGAAAAAGTATAAGATTGCCTCTTCACCATCATTCCATTCATGGTTAAAAGTTGATATACTGTAATTGAACCTTAAGCTATGATAGTAGAATATGCTATTTTGATCACAGTTCAGATTATGCTAGGCAGGCTGTCTGAACCATTTAGGCTATTTCCATATGACATTAATTAATTCCATAGTGAAACCCTTAATTGGAAGACAATCTTCAATTGTTTTCACTTCTGTCAGCCTCATAACATCAGGTAGACAATGCTGTAAATCAGTCCATTCTCACTGAAGTGGACCAAAAGGAGAGTTAGAAATATGATTTAATCAGTATCTCACCTCATCAATTGCTGCAATGCTGGAATAATGAAAATTCCCCTGTCCCTACTTCAAATAAAAAGAAAATAAATTGTGAACACCCACCACTATACATCTTCTTTATATAATGTGGATATATATTGGACTATCTGCAAGCAAAACAAACAGAGCAGTTGTTACTTATATTATGAAAGAATCAGTTCTCTTTCTGAAAAAATACCTGTGATGCTGGAAACATAATGCAGTACCACATTAACTTGGTAAATGGATCTACGTGATATTATGGATCTAGATTGTAGCATGAGTCTTTCTGTGAGGGACCTAAATGATTTTCTTAAGCCTGAAGGCAGGATTAAGGATGATCAGATTTGAATTGCAAATATCCAAGTCCTAAATTGGGGAAGAATTTAAAAATTTAATTAAAAAGAAAGATAAATGAATTTGGTGCTTGATATTTGAATAACGAGTGAGGATAGCTGAAACAGATTTTATAAGGATTAGGGAATTACCTGGAAGTTGCCTACAAGAATTAAGATCATGTTCTCTGATAATGTTGGTTGTATTCCTTTCCTAAGGAAGGACTTGTTTGTGTCCAGGAACCAGGTAGCATGGTAAAGCAACAGCAAAGAAAAGAAAAGGAAACCACTGACACCTATCAGCACTGCAACAATAAGATGCAATTTCCTTAGGATTTAATTAGACAGGAATAGAACAGAAAAATGCTGATTCATCCCTTGACACAAACCAGTGTTACAGGATGGGCAAACTCAGTGCTCTCTTAGGAACAA